ATATATATATATATATATTTTTTTTTTATTTCTATATCTTGGCTATTATAAATAATGTTGCAGTCTACATGGGGGTGCATATATCTTTTGAGTTAGTGTCTTGTTGCTTTCTTCTAATAAGTACCCAAAAGTGGAATTGCTGGATCATATGCACCCATATTTTTAATTTTGAAAGGATTCTCCATTCTGTTTTCCACAGTGGCTGCACCAATTTACACTCCCAGCAGTAGTGCACAAGGTTTCCTGTCTCCACATCCTCACCAGCACTTCTTATTTCTTGAAATTTTGATGGTAGCCATTCTAACAGGTGTGAAATAATACCTCACAGTGGTTTTGATTTGTATTTCCCTGATCATTAGTGATGGTGATATCAGATTGTTGGTTTTTTTGTTACTGAGTTGTATGAGTTCTTTATATCGCCTTATCAGATACATGAATGACAGTATGTTGTCACATTTACTAGGTTAACGTTTATTTTATTGAGGCTTCCTTTGCTGTGCAAGAAGTTTTTTAGCTTGATGGAATCCCACTTGTTTATTTTTGCATTCACAGCCTTACCTTTTAATGTCAAGGAACTTACTGCCTGTGTTTTCTTCTGGAGTTTTATGCTTAATCTAGTTTCATTCCTATGCATATGGCTGTCCAATTTCCCCAACACCATTTATTTAAAGAACTGTCCTTTCCCCATTGTATATTCTTTCCTCCTTTGTCATAAATTAATTGACTATATATGGGAGGTTTATTTCTGGGCTCTCTATTCTGTTCCATTAATTTCTGTATCACTGTTTTGATTACTATAACTTTGTCATAAAGTTTGAAATTAGGGAATGTAGTGCCTCCAACTTTGTCCTTCTTTCTTAAGATTGCTTTTTGGCTATTCATGGTCTTTTGTGTTTCCATAAATATTTTAGGATTATTTGTTTTATTTCTGTAAAAAAATGCCACTGGAGTTTTGGTAGGGATTGCACTGGATCTGTAGATTGCTTTGGGTAGTATGGACATTTTAACATTGTTAATCCTTTCCATGTAAAGGGCATGAACTATGCCGCCCTTTATTAGTGCCTTCTTCACTGCGGTGTTATTTTCAGTGTATAGGTCCTTCTCCTCCTTGGTTAAATTTATTCCTCCATGTTTTATTCTTCTTGAGACCCACCAAAAATGATATTCTAGCAAAACTGGCTTGAATGAGAGACCCACATTCTCAGTGACTTCATCATCAAGTCCTCAAAGCGGTGTTCTGTGGAAACTTGCCCCAGAACAAGGCCGTGGAACAGATTTTCTTTATACTTTGGGATACACACCTGTATTTATGTTATAGCACGTTGAACACCTCTAGGTGTTTTTGTCTCTATCCTCCTGTGAGAGTGGAAATGAGTGCCGCCTCCCTGCAGGCTAATTTAGCAGATGATTGTTAGCGGCTTACCATACGAACATGTGCACCAGACCGCCCCGAATTCTGCCAAGATATGCCAGCAAAGGCTTTATGGCACTTCGTTTCTAGAGGCAAAAAGCTGGGAACTTTAGCACCCATCCCTAGGGGACTGGTTAAAAAATCATAGTGTACACATAAGGTGGAAATTTTTCAGGTTGATGCATAGAAATGTCCCACATCTGTAAGAAAGCATGGTGTGGATATGGGCATACAACAACCCCTTTGGGATAAAGATATAAAGGGTGTGTTGTGTACACACACACAGATAGATATATGTGTAGATACGGATGTGTAATTCTTTTTCTGGAGATAATCACTAGAACAAGAACAGTAGGTAGAGAGACTAGAGATGGGGAAAGGGCTTTCATATATTCATCTGTTTTGAGTGGTTTGTTTTTACTTTCCATTTTGAACCTTTCTATGCTATTAAAAAGAAAATTCAAATAGTTGAATTTTTAATGTCCAAGGTCAATTAAATAACTGTCTACACCACCCCTCCACAAAGTAGAAAGGGTCCTCAGGAGACGGGGAGAGGACCCGCTGGCCTCGGTCCCTCCTGTGGCTGTGTAAGGTACTGTGTGTGTACTCCACCGTCCCCCTGAGGCGTGCTTGCAGTGGAAGGGGTGCTAACGAGACAGGACGACAGACACCAGGTATAAACCACGAGTGATCTGGACACTTCTGCACCTTTGGTTGGTTTGTCATCTCCCTGTAAAAATGAGTTCCCTGTGACTCCTCATTGCTATCTATTTTGTTTTCACTGTAGCAAAGTCTGTTAAGGTGAAAATCAAGCTCAATAAAAAAGAGGAGAAAGGTCGGGACAAGGGAAAAGGCAAGAAAAGACCAAATCGAGGGAAAGCCAAACCTGTGGTGAGCGACTTCGACAGCGACGAAGAGCAGGATGAGAACGTGAGTGGAGCTGGGACCACAGCCCTCTCTCTCCGCTTCGGTTTCCCTCTCACGCTTCCTTGTCCTTTCCAGCTTCTTCTCTTTATTACCTAGAAATGAAAACGTCAAGATTTGGTGAGATTTCATTTCTGATGGATGTGCACTGAGCTGCCTGCTTATATAACAAGGAATTTGGGTCTTTGTTTATTGCTTTTTTAATGGTCTTCAAAAATGAAAAACACTAAATCAAGTTTCCTTCCCCCCTTTCTTATCTTCCCACTGCTTACTTACAGATAGAGTTTTCTCCAGGGCCAGTTAATGTTTTATCTCCTCACCCCCAGCGTCGTGCCTAGACAGTAGCAATGTATAGATGGAATAAGGATTAGATGGAAGAACAAGAAAAAAGTTAGGATGTCAGAGAGCTGGGTTTGTTTTTAAAACACTGTACAAAAAAAAAAAAAACGGATGAATTTTTAAGTATCCAGAAGTGTTATTAATAATTAAAAAATTCAGACAGCATTTGTGGAGCCTGAAAATAAGAACCTTCCTCGGTGGTACTATATTTAACCAGTTAATTACCACACGTCCAAAACGGAAACCATCCCCACACGCCACATTTCGAATTTAATTAAAAAAATCAATTTGCAATGAATATTATAAAAATAAATATATTACAATGTGGGTGTTCTTGACTATTCTCACCTGAAAATTCTCTCCAAAAAATGATTTTAAAGTTGGTCAGGGCTTAGGGAAAACATATTATAGACGTGCATAGCATGTGGGGAAGGTCCACCGCTTGGGTCTATAGACGCTTACGGCGTACAATGGGGTAACATAGTGGTCGGCAAACTGCAGTTCTTTGGCCCCTTGAGTGTAGCCACGAAGTTTCAATCGCACTGTATGTGCGCGCCTGCACGTGGTATTTTGTGGAAGAGCCACACTCAAGGGGCCGCAGTTTGCCGACCACTGGGGTAACGCTTCTATTAGCATCATGAGATAGATGTCACTCTCCACACACGACATAAATTGGTGCTTAGGTTGTGTGTTTTGCTCCAGGTGATGTAAGTAGATAGCAGAAGCTGAATTCAGTGCAAATAGCCTGACTCCATCCAACGAAGTCCCTTGACTCCATGGGCGACCAGGGGGCCGGAACTTCTCCGGGCTCGCCTTCTGAAGCGGCCTCCATCTCACGCACTGGGCAGAGGACCTCAGGTTCCCACCCGACTGCTTTCTTTCCGGAATATTCATTTTCCATTACATTTAAAGTACTGTGCTTCCTTCGGTAGATATACCAGGGAGTAGACAGCAAATGCGTGGTACTTTTTTCCTCCCGTGAGTTTTCTAAAACATAGCGCTAAACATAACCTTTCAGGCCAAAGCAAGAGAGAGAAAGACTGGCACAGAGGGTGGGTGTCAGTTTAGTTTTTCAGCTTCGAGGCTGCCAAGGCCTCTGTGGTGTCTTCCCATCCTCTCGTAGAACGAAGAGGCGCGGGGCGTTAACTTTCCAACATGTCATTTGCTTTCTCCATTGCCTTTTGATGGGTTATTATGTCGTCTTGTCCTGGTATGTAACGTCATTCCATTTTACCTTTTTTGACTTCAGGAACAGTCAGAAGCAAGCGGGACTGATGACGAGTGATGGATACGGACCTTGTTCCAACTGAATTCCTTCCTCCCCTCTCTCACTTCTACCCAGTGAGTTCATTTGTGGTATGGGCACTGGGCTGTTTCTATATCATCATCATCACCTATACACTAGCTTTAGGATAGTGCCAGACAAACATATGCTATCATGGTGTAAAAAAACACGCACACAAATATTTGTAACATATTGTGACCAAACGGGCCTCAAAGATTCAAAGATTAAAACAAACAAAGTAAAGCTTTTGATGGAAAATATGTGGGTGGACAGTATATTTCTATGGGTGGGTGTAATTTGGTAATGGTTTGGTTGGGCCTGGTTTTATCACCTGCTCCGATGAGAAGATTTTTGTCTTTTTGTAGCACTGATAACCAGGAGAAGCCATTCAAAGTCACTGGTTATTTTATTTTTCATCAGGCAATTTTCAAGATTTTTATTTGTTTGGTATTGTGTTTTTTTTTTTTACACTGTGGTACATATAAGCAACTTTAATAGGTGATTAATGTACAGTAGTTAGACTTCACCTGCATAGACATTTTTCCATTTTATGCTATATGACCTGAAAATAAAACTGCTTTTTGAATTGTATAAGATTTATGTCTACTGTAAACATTGCTTCTTTTTTTTTTTTTTTGCTCTTGATTTAAAAACAGGTTCTGTTGAAAATGCTATTGAATATTGCAATCTATATAGTGCATTGGATGGCTTTTTTTTTTTTTGTCACCCTGATCTCCTATGTTACCAATGTGTATCGTCTCCTTTCTCCCTAAAGTGTACTTAATCTTTGCTTTCTTTGCACAATGTCTTTGGTTGCAAGTCATAAGCCTGAGGCAAATAAAATTCCAGTAATTTCCAAGAATGTGGTGGTGGTGCTTTCCTAATAAAGAGACAGTTTAGCTCAACAAATGTTGCTTCTTGTTTTTGAGTTCCAGAGCATTGAAATCCTGGTGCCTGAGTGACGGGCTCCTGCTACAGAACATTTGGGGGGAGAAGGGACAGAGAGAGCCATTCTGCTGCAATGAACCAGGTGTGTCACGGGAGAGGAGTATAGGACCTGGGTGACTGTAAACTTGCCCAGTGGCAGAGGTGCTGCCATGGACTAAGCACCCCCTCCCCAATCTTTCTCAGGGGTTTAAATTGTTTACCAGCCAGAAAACCTTCCTTTATTTTACTCCAAGTCAATAGCAATTAAAGTCATTTAAAAAAAATTTTCTAGGAACACATTTTTTGGTCATCCATAATAATAAAAGCGTAATATGCTAAATAGACTGAATGAAGCCAGGGAAGCCAGCAGCCAGGGGAAGGAAGGCCTACTCTTGCACGAATTTCGTGCATCAGGGCCTCTAGTAATAAAATAAATGTATGTGGGCAGCAAGAAAAGTACAAAGAAATCTTACTACCCAGAGAAAAGCACTTGAGATTTCCAGTGTCTGGTGTGCATGGTAGGAGTTTGGAAGTCATCTCTCCTATTCACACAAGAAAAAAGTTGAACAAACTGAAAATCAACAGCTCTTCTTAGATCAAAGCACTGAGGTCATAGGGCAAACCAGCTGCCCCCAAAACTGAAGACAGAGGCAGACGCAGAGAATCACAACCTACACCAGTGATGGCAAACCTTTTGAGCTCGGCGTGTCAGCATTTTGAAAAACCCTAACTTAACTCTGGTGCCGTGTCACATATAGAAATTTTTGATATTTGCAACCATAGTAAAACAAAGACTTATATTTTTGATATTTATTTTATATATTTAAATGCCATTTAACAAAGAAAAATCAACCAAAAAAATGAGTTCACGTGTCACCTCTGACACGCGTGTCATAGGTTCACCATCACTG